CCATTATGGGCATAATTGGAAAATTATTAATTGCCACCCCTAATATCTTGGCAGGGTTATAGTTCTTCTTTTAGTCCAGTTCTAGTTGTTTTGTTTCTTGTTTAGCTGAAGCATAGACAAGAAAATGTTTTTGCTTTGTTAGAAAGCAATATTACTTCAGACCTAAACTCCTGGATGAAAGAATGTTCACTTTTAGCCTTTGAATTGGGTTTTTATCAGAACAATAGAAAGGCTGATTATTATGATTTTGTATAGACAAGGTTTAAACTGCTGTTTAGAAAATTAGTTGCCATTATATATCTGTAGCAATATATATAGATTTCTTAAAATGTTTATCTTAAACTCATTTCTTTTAGTTTCTTGGAGGAGGGTGTTTTTTATATATATATTGTTTTGTTATTTTGTGGGTTATTTCATTTTTATGGTTCTTTTTAAATTATAGTAGTAAAATAAAAATAAACGAAAAAAGTTCAAAAGAAATGGGCAAAGGGAAGTATTGAGAGCATTAGGGAGCCTATAAGGCAACCAGAGAGAAAGGAAAAGAAAGGAATTTGAGTGTGCATGAGTTAGGTTGAGAATGTATTCTAAAACAGAGGGATAAAATAGTTAGCTAGAGAGTTAAATAAGACAAAATTGATATGTTATCCTAAATGAGAAAGTACTCTATGGGCTTTTTATTTGCATTATTACTAGTTTGTCTTTCTATGGCATAGTCCTCTATTGAATTAAGGAACTGTAAAATGAAAAGTAAGTTTTGATTTAATTACATGCCATCAAGTCAGTGTCAACTCTTAACAATCACAATTTCTAGCATGATTTGTTCCCAACCTGGCCTTTCAGGTCACCAAATGATGCACCCATAATCAAGTTTGTCCAACATGCTGATGGTCATCCTCTTGTCTTTATTTACATAATTCCCAGCATTATGACATCTCAATGGAGCTGGATCTTCCTATAATGTGTCTAAAATAAGGTAAGCCTGGTCATTTGTGCCTTGAGAGAAAATTCTAGAATGATTCGTTCTATGATCCACTTGTTTGTTTTCTTAACTATACATGATATTCTTAGGAGACTTCTCCAACACGAAAGTTCAAAAGTGTCAATACTCTTTCTATCCTGCTTCTTCAAAGTCCAACTTCTGCTTCCATACAGTATCACAGAGAATACAATTGCCTGCACAATTCTGATCTTGGTATATACAGACACATCATAGCATCTGAATATCTTTTTCAAGGCTTTCATGGCTACTCTACCTAGTGCTAGTCTGTGGTATATTTCTTGCTGGTTCCTTTATTGTTGATAGTTAATCCTAAAAGGCAGAAGATAACCACCACTTTGTCTTCATTGTCAGTTCTAAGGCTGATTGCTCTATCTGTTGTTATTAGTTTGGTCTTATTTAAATTTAATTTGCTTACCCAGCAAATTTAATTTGAGGGACCACCTCTCCCCAGTAACATCCCATCAGATCCGGGCAGGAGAGTCATGTTATGGGTTCTATCTACTAAGGAACTCAACTCATTTCAACTCCATCAGTTCACAATACTGGACAAGTTGTAAAGTCCCTGGGGTTCTCTGAGCTTGGTTGTTTTCTTGCAGACGTTTCATTACCCAGCTAGGTAACATCCTCAGTGCTAGAAGGGAGTGGGGTTTGCTGTTGTTTACTGCTTGGTTCTTTGTCTGGTGTTAATCCTGGTGTTCATCTCTGCTTATCTTAGTGTTGATTGCTGGCGGAGGTGTTCTGGTCTTTTTGTTTCCTTTTTATTGTCTCTTTTGAATAGTGTATAGATGTTGTTTATCTCTATGTGGTGCTAGAAGGGAGTGGGGTTTGCTGTTGTTTACTGCTTGGTTCTTTGTCTGGTGTTAATCCTGGTGTTCATCTCTGCTTATCTTAGTGTTGATTGCTGGCGGAGGTGTTCTGGTCTTTTTGTTTCCTTTTTATTGTCTCTTTTGAATAGTGTATAGATGTTGTTTATCTCTATGTGCCTGTTGATGGCTGACTTGTCTGAATACCAAGCTTCCAGGAACTCCCTCGCATTTTTGGATTTAGCTTGGTCTAAGATGCTGACAGTTGAAACTATGGTTAAATCTGTCCATGCGTTGCGAGATTAAGGAGTTTTCATCATGTCTTCTGACTGCTGGTTGGTGTTCATGGATGTGCTCTGCTAGCCTTCTGTTTGTCCTATATAGTGGTTGTTACAGTCCTTACACTGTATGTTGTAGATGACTCCTGTTTTTT